CGTGAACGTCCAGGACTCATTCAAAGGTTTGCAGTGTTGCCAGGGTGGAAAAAGGAAACGGGACAATGAGGGATGGTTCTTGACCTTGGCACTACCCTGGTTTGGTCCTTTGACCGTGGAACTGGAAAGGGAGCAGGGGGATTCACTAGACAGGTAATGTCCCATGTGAGGGATCCCAGCAGGGGGATCGCATCTGCCTTGGGGTAAATTGTTTACTTTCGTTGACTTTTTCTGTTTTTTTTTTCGTTTCAGATGCGCTCGATATCCCCCGCCATTCTCTGAAGGATTCAGGGTGTTGGAAAAACAACACCGGAAAGGCCGGGAAGGAGAATGTGGAAGAGGGAGGATTGCACCAGAGGAGGAACTTCCGAGGAGGGAGAAGTGGAAGGCTCGTATTTTGCGAGATATTTTTCCTCAATAGCAGGTCGCCCAATTACTAGATCACATAAAAATGAACCACAGATGCACAGCTTTTGCCTCCCCGGCTCGACATCTCCTACAAACCTCCAGGATTTCCCAGAGAAAACTTCAGCTACTTCCGCAGCTACTCCCCCCCCCCTCCCTCCCCAAAGAAAGCCTTAACTATAGCAAGTTGAAAAACATGGCTGCAGTTCTTTTGACGCTCCAGTGCACTGATTTGTTATGATGTTGTCCCCTTAAGGGGCAGCTCAGTTCACTATACACTGCATGGAATCCTTTCTAAAGACGTATTATATCCCAGGAAATATATCCGCTAGTGACAGACGTCACATATTCATCACCTCGAACGTGCGCGTTCGGTCGTAACAACCCACCGGATAATCCACGCTAATTAATCAAGCAGAGCTGTCAAGGAAGGTGAAGCCTACGGAGACAACACCACAGGTAGCATCACTGCCAAAACAAAATATTGCGCTTTTTAGCTTGGGAAGGGCATTTCACACTTTCGCTGTTTCCTTTTGCTAATTCCTGTAATTACATGTCATGCCCTAGCGAGACTTGTAGACCCTTGTCAACTGTAAGTGAAACTCCTGTTATTGTATAGCTTTACTGGTCATGTCTCCACAGGAACATCTATGGGAGTCAGCAAAATGGCATTTATGGGCAATTTCACCCTTTACGACCCCACATTCCGAGATTTAACCTGCATCTTTATCGAAATTCATCACTGATTGGGAAGGGATTCACCTAGAAATTTGTTTCCAGTATTATTTTGAACTCCTGAACGCGAATCCCACATCCGCCAAGCGCGAAGGTACCTGGTACTAGAGTTACGAGCCTGTTTTTGAGCCAACACCGGTAATGCGGGCACCAAGCGTTTTCGCGCTAAGCGTACGTGAGATTTGCGACCAGCAGGTCAAAATGCGGAACAAATTTCTAGCTGACTCTCTTCCCAGCGACGAAATTTCGATTAAGTTCTAGTTGAAATTTCGAACGGGTTTGATTTTGGGTTTTTTTTCGTAAATGGTGTACAGTGCCCCTGCGCTCTTCACGATGGCTTGAAGTGAAATTTCCTGACTCAAGTAAGGACTCAAAGAGGCGAATCACTAGGACTAAATTTGATGATCACCATTCCGACAGTACATGGACTCCACACACTGGAGAAGGGGAGGGCGTCGCTGCGTACTTCATTTGAACATGACCTATGACAGGTTTTTTGTGGGATACCTTCATTTGTGACAACTGCCAGTTTAGAACAGCGTTAGACCACCAGAAGCGTTTAAGTTAAGTACGCAGCCGTGCCCCTTCTCATCTTCAGGATATACACCGTAACGAGATTCTGCCAATTAGAACCCACATTTGCAAAGGCTACGGTGGCGCCTGCTCTGAATTTACATACCATCTCATCAAGCCTCCTTCGCTACAACACTGGAATGGGATCAGGGATAAAAAATAACCAAAACCAAATTGGATATATGCCTGGCACAAGATTTTCCACAAGCAGGACACCTCCTACGTTGGGGAACCCTCAGCGGAGGAGCAGGCGTTTCTAGGCGCAGGAAGGAGGGGGGACGTAATTGGTCTGAGAAAAAAATTTTGATAGTTAATTTTTCTGCTTCATGGGCTTTGGGCGCATCGTTGGGAGAAATCCAATGAAAGGGGGGGGGGAGGCGTCATATCTGCTTCCGAGAGATGGCCGCTCTGCACAAAAAACGGGTTGTTGACTTTTCGCTTTCTCTGGTTCTTATACCCCTTTCCCCTACCCCCCCCACACCCTCGACGGCAAAATTTTGGGAGAAATGGAAAATTCTTAGGAAATTTCGGGAAAAGTGGTAAGAAGCTTGCAGAGAGGGAGATCGTAGCAGAAGACTGAATAGGGGTGGGTCGGATTTTCCGACTTTTCTCCAGCGGCAGGGCGTGCCCTACAAGCCGTCCCAGCCAGTCATTCATCTCTACCAAGAAATGACTGAGATGATCATGCACCCAGTCCGAAGCCATGTCAGTTCTTCCCTAGGGATAGAGGGAGATTACTCGACATGACCACCACTGCCGCAACATGCGCTGTTCAAAGCGGATGATTCATCATAGATGCCCTCAGATAACGCATTAAGCAGCCGGAAACAGTTCGTGGAACGCCCAAATGAGCAACGGGCCCCTCATATATATGCATAAAACACGTCAGTCCAATTTCATATCCAACAAGCAACCGAAATATGGCCGTTAATCTCGCTGCTTTCAAATTGAACATAGCAGCCGCTGAAAGCACTAAATTTTCAAGACAGCGCCCAAATGTCTCGTAACCTAGAATCGTCTCCTATCCGCTCATAAAAACACTTGAATTCAGCCCTCGTAATTGCCTAGATACCTGCTTTTCACAACGATTAGCCGATTTAGCCAGCGCAGGTGGTTGCTACATCGGAAATCGCCACTAGGGTCATGACATCGCTCAACGGGGCTCGTCGAGTTACTCTTTGCAGATTGACATCCACCTGTGCTTAATCGTGGGTAAAGGGTGAGCGAGAGAGCATTTCTTGACCCTTGTACCATATGCCGATGGTGCCCCTGTGCATAGAGCAATTATCCATCGTCTGCACGGACACGCAGGGACACATAACGTGACGACCCAGAATTAGTTGGCTACTTCAGGGGAACGCAAAAATCCCATTTTGGCGATTTTGAAACCTAATGAGCACAGATTTCAGCGCTCATGACCTTGTAGGAAGCATTCAAAGGACTCCCTGTGCAGAACTGGGATTAAAGCCATCCAAATTAAACCACCGTGTTCACAGAACTTCTGTCACAAGGGAAAATTTGGAAACACGATACCCCTCCTTCGAATTTCTTCCTCTGAAACCTACCATCTCAGACATTTCCCAAATTTCTATCACATTTTCAGGGAATTTCCTAGCATTTCAAGAATTTTTTTAGCATTCAAAACAAAAAATTTTGTTTAATGATGAAGGGGATTGGAATTAGGATGCGCCACTCTAAATGAATGCAAAAGACCCTATTTTGTATGATCCTCAGACCACATTTGAGCCACATAAACTTTTTGGAGTTGCTAAGAACTTTTGTGGAAGATGCACTCAAAGGGGCTCGCCATGGAGCAAGAAGGGGATTAACGTCCATTCTGAATAGATACCGCGATTCACGCACTTCTTGTCGTCCTGTACGAAAAAATTTTCGGAAAACATGACAACCCTCGTCTGTGAATCTCGCTGTACAGCCCCCTTTCCGCTATGTAGCTTTACTATGTGCCACGCAACTTTTTTTTCACTTTTCCTGCAAATAGTAGTAGTTGCACGAAAAACTGCCGTCGAGCGAGGGAGGGGGCTTTCTAAAAGTCTGATACGACCCTCCCCCTCTTGAAGCGACGAGCAGATAAGCCCCTTCTCAGTGGGAGTCTCCAATTCAGTGGATAGCACGCGTGAAACAGGAACATCAAATGGACTCGCTCAACCTACAACGTGTAGTGATCGTATGTTGGAATCGGTTCAACATACCGAGCCCCTTCCCGTTTGCTGATAGCTCAGGCAAAAGCCTTCACTTCCATTGCAGTAATTCCAGTTTTACACAACAAGCCCATTAAATGCCCCTCCAAGGTTAGTAGCGAACAACTTTTCTCTTGAGTCGTATCAAGGGTCATCCAACACCCCGCAGAAAACCTAACCAGCCATTACGCTGGGAACTTCCAGTGGCGTTTGCAGGCACTGTCGCTCTCTCTCCACAGATATGGGAACCTACAGAGTGTTTAAGGCAATTGCGCGCTACTAAGGATAGGAAGATAGGTTTTCGTGCGCTTGTTACCCTTCCCAGGGATACGCCATGGCATGCCATTTCCACTTAGGGTCGCAAAGGCTGAATGAGATAATGCCTACAAATGACATGAGAATAAATGAGAACTTAGGATGAGATAAGGCCTATAAAATGACTTCTAGTGCTTTGGGCCGACATGCTTCGTTGCTATTTATCTTCCTGAAGAATCCGCGGTACTAATCAACGATAAATCCGAATGCAGCGTAAAGAGAACTGGCTCATGAGTCCACTCACTTCTCAAAACTTGTACTCACAGCGCCAAATTCTGGTATGAAACTGCGTATGTCCTTGCTCAGGAAGGAACTTCACGGACTTCCTCGGCCGGGACAAAGCTATTTATCCGTCCCATAAATGAATGGCTTCATTCTCGACCTATATATAGACTGTCGGACAACAAACTTCCCTTCTGGTACTTGGCAGTCTGCCAAACTCAGTAGAACATTTTTTGAGAGATAGATACATTTTTCTCGGAACCAGGTTCCACCCGCCCCTCTCCCGCATGACCGGGAATCAAAAATGAATTCTCACACTTGCTGGCTGTCATAGAATTCCTTGAGATCTTTGTCTTCTTCCAGATTTTATCCAGCGGCATATCCAGTGTCATCTAGCAAGAAGATGTTTGTTCATTCTTTCGATTATACACCCAATAGTCTGTGTAATCGCCTGCTCTGCCACCCTTTAGTCACGCCCCTTGCAAGCGAGATGCCACGCCTTCTCATCCAGCCGCCTCATTTCATCTACCACCCAACTGCTGCAGCAGCAGTATGGGACCAATACTATTGTTATTACTGCTACTATTGACCGATTGTGGTTATGGAATCATTGAATGTCCACGTGAATGTGAATGTGACGCCATAGCCCCGAACAATTCATCGTGGGCAGTTTATTGTCATCGCGGTGGCCTCAATGATTCTCTTTTTGCCAATATTCTCAGTCGACTTCCATCTTCGCTGAAACTTTTGGATATTCATGCCCCTAGTTGGCGTCCTGCCAACAAATTCAAATGGAGCGACAATCTGAACCGATTCAGCCAGCTGAAACATCTTCGTCTGGTGAATTGTGGTATTCCGGCGATGAGTCGAAGTACAAGACTCACTTCTTTGGAGTTATTAGATCTCCATGGGAATAATATTGAACATGCCACTATGGGCAATTTCGGTGGAATGCCCAATTTACGATTTCTCGACCTGAGCCACAATCATCTCAGCATCCTTCCAACCGGGGTTTTCACCTTTCTTCACAACCTCAAGTCTCTTTCCCTAGCTAACAACTCGATAACGGAACTTTCTGCAAACCTCCTACGCGGATTACGAACACTCAAATCATTACGACTTGATGGGAATCGGATTCCAATCAAGCAAATCAATGACCTTTTCGCTGACGTTCCTCAACTAGAAGAGCTACATCTGAACGATTGTCGTCTGTCCAGTATCGTCAATCTGTCACTGAACCACGTTCCGCAATTACGTCATCTCGGACTGGCTAATAACAATCTGCGCACGATACCCACTCAAGAGTTACGACAACTGGCACATTTGGCCGTGCTTGACCTCAGTGGAAATGGCCTCGACGAGGTCCCAGCATGTGCTTTTTGTTCTAATAACATCTCACGGCTTGATCTGTCACATAATCGGCTTGGTCTGGTGAAGCAGCCTTTTCATGCCGATGCTTTCCGGAATATGCCACTGGTGGAGCTTGACCTTTCCTTCAACCATATGGATGAGTTTCACTCCAGCTCACTTGGATGGGCTCAGGATAGCCTTCGCACGCTCAATGTTGCTGGGAACTCCCTTGGAGGTGAGGATTTCCGGCTTTTTTTCAAGAGTTTCGTTACTGTTCCTCTTCTCATTACCGTATGTGGTCGTGTACAGAAAACTGCTACAATATAACCCAGGCAGGATACAGTATCGTTGTAGCTAACAACGACGGATTACGCCCAAGTCGGTGGGGGAGTAGGGGAGGGGAAGGGCGTTTCTCGAAACCGAATCGGGGAGGAGGCCTATCTGGTAGCTCGTAGAGGAAGAAGGGGTCGTATTGGACTTCAAGAGAAATTTTTCTTATTGTTGATTCCCCCCAATGAGCGGGGACGCTATTACGACACCTTCGGGGAACTGTCTAACCCTTCTCCCGCTCGCAAGCCGACAAAATTATAGGAAAATTCGACAAGAGCTCGGGTAGGTGTGGTTATGCTCTTACCGTAAAGTGGGAATCGAAGGGTGGAGCTCTTATTCGCTTTTGTGAAGAATGTTTTCTTACTGAGTTCTCTTCGGTTTCTAGTTCCACATACGCTATACTCCATACTGTCCTTCTGTCCCTTCACGATGGCTTTTTTCAGGGAAAAGTAGAGAAATTCGGAGGAATGTTTGGAAAAACACTGGGGAAAATGGTAGCAAGATGGGAATATTCAGGAAGATGGTAGATGTGATGGGGGATGAGGAAGGAAGAGAGATAGGATCGTACTAGAGGGGGATTTTTGAGGGGATCGTAACTTGCGAACATTTTCCTCAACGACAGAACGTGCCCTGGTTATACTGACGCCGCCATTTTCCGATCCTGATGCTGTGCCCTGCACCCAGGCTCTCGAACAGAAGCAACACAACCACTTTCTTCTTCTATTTTCTCTAGACCTTTCTGATTTTCAAAAAAAATGATTTTGAAGCTAAAAAATATTTTAAGGCTTCTAAACTCAAAATTTAGGTTTCCATCCGGACATTACTGCTACGCTTCCTCTTCTACATAGTCTCAACATAGCCTACAACAATATTCACTCCATCCCTCTCGTGCTCCCGCCTCAATTTTACCATCTGATATTCCTGAACATCTCTGGGAACTCCCTCAGTTATCTACCCGACAATCTTCAGTACTTACTTCCCAATTTGAAGGTAATTTTTGTTGATATTTCTGGAAATATTGATTACTTTCGTAAAAGTTCATTAATTTCACAATCCTCCTTCTCTCATAGGGTCTATCCCACGTCATTTTGCTGGGTAAATGCCCTCTCATATTTGCATAGACGGCTGAATGCCCCCAGTTTCCCCAAACGATAAAATGCAAATGAAATTGGAAGCATTTAGGATCTGAAAATCCGAGAGGGGGACCTCCCACAGGGAACACGAAATCTGCCTATTAACTGGAACTTTCTATGTTTTCTAGTAAAATCCAGACTGGGGTACATAACTAGTAAAATGGCGCTTTTTCAATTTCATGGCGGCAGTTTTGTATGTCGACAAAGTTAGAGCCAGTTAATCTTTGGCAGAAGCATATTAGAGCGACGGTTAGTTTTTGTGGGCGCATATGGGGGACCGAAGTGGGCCGTTTCTTCAAGCTAGTCATTATGACGTCCAGAATTGTCAGTGTGAACAGCAATTTTTCATTTTTTCACTAACACCCGACCTTGACAGCCACGATGACGATTCCTCAGAGAATAAGTTTTTCGTTTAGGAACTGGACCTCTCGAACAACGATTTCTCGACGCTCTCTTTGGCTGCCAGCAACTATATCGATCAACTGGAGAGGGTGCATCTCGGAGGCAATCCATGGGACTGTTCCTGCTCCATTCAACATATACAACAACACATGCGCGATCGTTATGCGATGAGACATATTCTTCGATATCACGACGCTCGATGTGCAGAACCCCCTCTTGTCAAGGGACAACCACTACTCAGCGTAACTGATGTAAGTCTATGAACTCGTAAGAAAGAAGCAGTGACAGCGCACAGTAACCAGGACATATCGTCGCGCTGTGGAATTTTTTTTGCAAAAAAAAGACCCTTGAAGTTTTGTACTTCACTACGACCCCGTTTCGCATCCTACTTTCCTTCCTACCAAGTTTCCGCCAGAATTTTGCCGTTTAGCAGGGGTAGGAATAAACAGTCGCATCCACTGCAGAAGCTAACACGTGTTAGCGGGGGAAGGGTAAGGTTTGGCGCGGGGCTAGCCCGCTCTTCAAAAGTTTCCTCGTTTCACGACCTGAGCTCCTTCTCCTTCCCACCTGATTTCCCCCAGGATTCTGCCGCTCGGCGGGGGTGAGGATATACAGAGCTTATCGGAGCCTGCGGATGGGGGCGGCCCTACTTAGGTGGATTTGGCACGGTGCCATGTTTATTAACGCCGGCCCGCTCCAGCTCCATAACGGGACGATCGGTGGCAAACAAGCTGGCGTCACGCCAAAGGCATAGGTACCAGGTGTATCGCCTCCACTTGAGGGACACTTCAGCACTATAGGGTAGGCGGCGTGTGAAGACGGAAAACACAACAAGACCGCGGATGCGGAAATAAGAATTGCCCGTTGTGGGACGAAAATAGGGTCTCGACACCTCCTCTCGCAGTCAAATGCGACCCCCGTTGTGATTTCCACAATGATGATGAACCCTGCTTGGAACTGCTGGTGCTATCAACGAAGGATCCAGCCCAAATCGGGGTGAGGGGGGGAGGGAGGGCGGGGGACATGGAAGAGTCATGTTGCACGAAAAAGAAAATACCGTTTCGGTTGAAACCCCTTCAAAATACGATAAATCCCACTCGGATTACGGTCATCGCACAAGAAGTCCTTCAAATTTCCCAATCAACATGCCTACAGCCTATTCGCTGCGAATGCGGGTGCATGTCAGATGGGGGAGTGGGTTTGGCGCTGCGCCAACCCGTTTTCCACTAACTGCTGACGTGAGCAAGCGACAATCTCTTCTTGCGCTTCTTATTACCTTTTCGCTTTAACTTGAAATGTTAAACCAGTAGTATCAAAAAGCTGAAGTCATGTAAGAGCTAATCCGCCTTACCAAAGTGCGAGTCTATTTTTCTCCTCGGGCTAAATGCTACCAGAAAAGAACTTATAACCGTAATCAAAAGCCTAATTTTCAGATCAACGAGTGTGCAGTACTGTTTGGTGCCCGTTACGGTCTTTCACAAACCAGCGAGCTATTCATCCTTCTCGCAGCACTGCTCTCAGCCGCCTTGGTGCTGTCCGTTCTACTGATCGGTTTATACTTTCTCAGAGAGCGGCAGTACAAAGGCTCTTACGTAACCCGAGAACATTCGCGAACACCGCTCACGATGGCTAATCACATCAGTTGTTCATCGAGTACAAGTGGAGCTAGTGAACCTTTGACGCCACCAATACCACCACCTCCACCCAAGGCATCCTCCACATATTTTGGAATATAGTCATTTTTTCAATATTGTTTCTACTAAAGTAATTGCCTGTCTTGTAGGAAATACCGGGTGCTGTTCGGCAAGGGGAGGGGGCATTTTGCACTTACGCTGCTCCCATCGACGCTTCGAGCCATTAAGAGACCATTTCTTGAACTCCCAAGAGCTGACAGGTTTCAACGTGGTGCCTCGACGAGCTTGCTCCAGCTTCACAAGAGTTCACAGGTTTCACCAGAGTGAGACTTGTAACCGGAACCAGTGAAGCAGCAGTGCAAAACGCCCCCCCCCCGTCGCCGAACTGCGCCGCAATACCGAATAGAGCGTGTAGATACTGCCGTTACTTTCATTAATAAGGGTGATTTTGAGTGAATATTTCTGCATGTCTTTTCTTTCCTCTCACGTTATCGCCTTTATTTCAGCATTGTTTCCGAGCACTATTTAACTTTTACTGCTTCTTTTTCTGAAATATAGGCCAAACTTGACTGAAAATTTCTGCGGAGGTAGAACTGGCCGAACTTATCCCTCTAGGGATAGCTCATCCCGAATATCGCACCCATTTGGAGCGATCATGCCTGACGCTCGCACCATAAACGCCGAAGCTACAATCTTGTCCGATTTGGGTGCTGAGGCGTGCCAGGTTAGGTTTGGCGCGGCGACAGCGCAATCCCAACCAACTGTTGTCTTTCACTGATTCAACAATTGGTGGAGAAAGTGCTGGCACAGCGCCAATTCCAGCCCAACACGCCACAGTATCCGCAGTGAACAACAGTGTGCAAGTTGAGCTTCCTAGCGCAAGCAGCAGGCATTTTTGCACAAAGAAAAGGTGGTAGTCTTGTCAAAGTCCCCCTGGAGAAATAAATTTTTGCCAGCTCTACCTCCGCAGAGAACTTTCAATCACATTTTACCCTGGATTTCGAAAAAAGGTGCAGCAAAGGGTGAATAGTGCCATTTCTCTTCGTGCTTCTTCCCATGCTGTCAACCCGATGCTCAAAAAGTCATGTGCAAAATTGTCCCCATCTCCTCACTATTCATTCTTATTCCTCCTGCGAGAATGTCTAATGAGGAATGATCTCAAAAACGGTGATCTCTCACGCATGAGTCATTCGTGTTTTCGTTTTGAGATCATCCCGTCACACATTCCAGTCATTCCTCCCGAAATCTCAAAAACGCGGTGTTCATTATCCTTATGATGGAAATCTTGCTATACAACTTATTGTACAAAGATCAATGAATATTAATAAATATTTAATGGTATACGCTTTTAGTAGACGATGTTTGTCGTGGACTCGGCCTAAGAGTAAATTCATTTGCATAAGCGATAGCGAGAAAGTGCAGCACGTTCATGCATAATGAAGTCTTTTGTCGGATGCAGGTGAAAATGACAGCCGCCATCGACTTCACCTCAACTATTTACTCGTAAATTTATAGTAGAAGCTTAGTGAGTAGGAGAACTACTCTTCACAAGAAAGTAACCAATTTTCGTCACACTTCCGCTTGGGAGGGGCACTCTGAAAACTGCTGTGAAGTTACGAAATGTTACGAGTCCAAACTCCAGGTCACTTTCCGCACGAAAAGGCACAGTGTACGATGAGCTCTCAGCTTCAAGGGCATTACAATGAATACCGGGTGTTGTCGGGAGGGGGGGGGGTAAACTTTCGCTAGTTTCTGATGCTGGTTCCTCTTGAGATACAGTTTCACCTCGGTAAGTATGAATATAGGCTCTTGTGGAAAGTAAATGAAGCTCATACTACTGCAAAGGTTTGCAGGAATTCATAGGTCTCCGGAAGGGCATCGCAGATT